GAACCGCACAAACGAAGCTAAGAATAATCTTTCAAGTAAAATTTAATCAAGTTTTAACCAACGAAATCAATGTGGGTGAGTTTTTGTACATCGAGGCGATTCCTCAGAAAAAAATGTCTTCGAACAATTTCTTTTAACTTTCGTTAAATGTTCTCTACCAATGTCTGTTTCGAAAAAAATAATAACAAAGATAGGTCAGATACGATGGGCCAAACTTACCCCATTTATGCCTTAGTGTTCTGACACTAATCACGCGCGTAATTTCATACCGAAAAGCAAAGGCTTTTTAAAGTAGCACTTGCATAAAACTTGATAGGTAGAACGTCTCGAGCGCATGGAACAATTTGATATCTAATTTGTGCAAAAATCACCCAATTTAAAACGACATAGACTCAAAACGTTCTTCGAGTCGTTGCTTCCGAAGTTATAGTTTGCATCTACGAGTAAAGGGCTTCGTTCACGCTTTTACCTGAATTACATTTCCCCTTGGTGAATTTTTTTGAGTTTCTTCAATTTTAAGGGATAATTTGTACACCAAAATTAATTCAATAAAAAAGATATAGGTCACCAGGCTCGTTGTAGAGGTAAAGACCACCCTATAGACCTCTTCACCTGGGCCCAGTAAAGGGCGGATAATGCTATCCAACGGGATCCAACGGATAAATCGCTATCCAGCGGATAAGTGGAAAAAGAAGATTTACGCTATCCATTGGATAGCGTTAATCGCCTGATAAGTGATTTTTAGGCGCAGTACAGGGTGCGCAATGCATTATTATTTATTTTTTTAAATACTCATATTCTGTGGAACCTGCATCAATAAGCTTTATTTCACGTGCGTGACCATTTACTACAGGTTCAACTGTATTCGTATTTTTTAAACAATACTAAGAATTAAATATGTAACATTTGTACCTATACCAAAATAAACTTTAATGTCTGTGTAAACTGCATTATAATGGAGGCCGGAATAAAAGTTTAAAAGTAGAAAGGATTTTAATTGTATTTCTCTCATCTCATGTGATTTTGGGCAAATATGGCAGTAAACAATGATCAATCATAACATAGCAAAATAAAGATAGCTTACACACAGTGAAGTGGCCCTCAGACTATTTCCACACGGCTTCAATACTATTGTACCTATTTCAGATAACTAAAGAATACAAATGCTTAAAAAATAAAAGTGATATGATTACTGGACTTAAAAACCAGAGACTAGAAGAAGCCAAGTTGCATATATTTCAAAATAACCACGCTATGGTCCTCTCTTGGCAAAGTGGAAGTATCCTTTTGGGCGCAGGTCTAGAGGAACTACATGGCTCAAAGAACTTACTGTACTGCATATGGAAGAAATACTAATAACTAGTAGATTCAAATTTTGGGTAATTTATGCCGACATTTTCGAATCCAATTTTGTTTCTAAAGCTACTTCCAATTTGACACGATATCTAAATCAACTTCTTAGGTGCTTGAATCATTCTGACTATGTCTTAGTTTAATATTTTATGATCAAGACTATAGAACGCAAAGGCTGCGTGATACTCCAATAGAAAAACGTTTACGTTGTTAATAATGTAACGGCAAACACAGTCTCTAAAGTGTTGAAAAACGCTTTCAAATCGCAGTAGTCGATGAATTCCAAGTTGTAGACTCGTTTAGCAGTTATGACAGAAGCAACTCGTCCCAGGTTACCACTCTGATGAACTCCAACTTTACGTCTGCGGCCGGCGTACTTCAAAGCATTGGACACGAGTCTTCCAGGCTGCACCATGCGAAGGTCTGTCATAAAAGAAATTACCATGAGATCAAGTTGTGCTAATAGTTTGAAAAGGTTTAACTAAGTTATTAGGGGAGACTGCACATCTCAGTGTGTGATAATCCTTACAATCAAGTCAAGTAAACAGTCCACGTAGCTGCTTTAAAAATCGTACACTTTTGCAGCGATATCTTGCCGCTGGGTGCAAGCTAATCAACGAAAAGATTTCTTTCTTTCTTTTTTTTTTCTAACCATTTTCACTGCATTACCGCAGTAGGGTAGGGCTAGAACGGAACATATGCGAACCATGCGAGTAGTCCACCCAATAAATCCCACCCATCCCACCCCAGGGGAGGACATCCATCACACAGTAATCTCGTGCGTGGGAAATTAACGTCTCCTACCCCTAACCCTGTAGGAGACC